GGCACTCAACAAATGGTGGGAAAAGATGAATATGATACACAGAAGACAGCTGAGAAATTAGAAAGAGTAGTGGAAGAGACAATTCAAAATAAACTACAAAAAGATAAAAATAAGTTAAAAGCAGAGAAAAATATTGAAAAGACAGCAATGACAAATACTAAAAATCAGATAGACAATCCTTTAAGAGCTTATAATAAAATAGAGGGGGGAAAGGAGGAGCTCACAAAAACAAAGAAAGGGTTATGGATGGATATTCAAAAGATGCAGCAGAAGGAGATAAAGGATAAGATAGAGGGAATAATCAGTTTGTGTAAAAATGTTAGAAAGTCATATAGGATTCCAAAAGAGAAATATAAAAGAATCACCCAAAAAAATAAATAAATGATGAAATTCTAGAAAGGTTGAGAGATGATGGATAGAGAAACAATATTTTGTAAGGTAGTAACAATATTGAGAAACAAAAAAAAAAAAGAAGAAGAAAGGCCCACAAGTTTAGGTCAGGTGAGGAAGGGGGCCATGTCATTATTCTTTAATCTTTAAGGCCTTTACTGGCTAGCCATGCAGTGGAGTACTTCAATGCATGTGATGCAGCATTGTCCTGCATAAAAATCATGGTCTTCTGGAAAGATGCAGACTTTTTCCTGTACCACTGCTTGAAGAAAGCGTCTTCTAAAAACTGGCAGTAGGTTTGGCAGTTGATTTTGAGTCCATCTTCAACCCCAAAAGGTCCAACTACCTCATCATTAATAATACCAGCCTATACCAGTACCTCACCTTCACCTTGCTGGCATTTGAATCCAAGTGGAGCTCTATGCCCATTACTGATCTAGCCATGGGCCCATCCATCTGGCCCATCAAGAGTCACTCCCATCTCATCAGTCCATAAAACCTTTGAAAACTCTGTCTTCGGGTATTTCTTGGCCCAGTCTTGCTGTTTCATCTTATGTAGCTTGTTCAGTGGTGGTTCGGTTTCAGCCTTCCTTACCTTGGCCACATCTCTGAGCACTGAACACTTTGTACTTCTGGGCACTCCAGGTACGTTGCAGTTGTGGAATATGCAGTTCTGGATTTCTTCTCAAATCTTTGGCAATTAATATGCGTGGTTTTTTTTCTCAACACGTTTCTTGCAACCCTGTTGACTATTTGCAACAAAACGTTTGATGGTTCTGTGATCATGCCCCAATATCTTAGCAATTTCAAGAGTGCCGAATCCCTCTGAAAGACTTTTTACAATTTTTGACTTCAGAGTCAGTTAAATCTGTCTTTTTGCTTTTCTATTTCCTTTGTATTTTGTATTTTATAATACTTTATCATTCAATAAAAAAAGTGTTGACTCTCTTGTTAAAAAATGTTAAATCACTTTTTTGGCTTATTTTGCCTGAGGAAAAGCTGCCGCCTAATAATTATGCACACTTTGATATAGGGTGCTGATCTCCTTAGACCACACTCTCCATTACACAAATACACATCAGCTGATTTGCTTATATCCACTAAGCATTCAAGTTTATACAGCTTAGAAATGGAAAATATGCATAAAAATGATGAAATAGTCAAAATACTCACTTGTCTAATAATTGTGCACACAGTGTATTTCAACCTCTTACTAGACTCTAATTGCTTTTTCTTTTTCTTTCTTTTTGATATATGTTATTCTGGATAAATTCTGTTCCCTTCGCATGAAAGCATGGCAGCATTTGGGGATATGTAAAGAGTTTTTAGACTCATTACTGGATCTCTGTATTTTTTGAATTTGCAAAATATCTGGACTTTATTTTTATTTTCTTATAATCTTGGATTGAAATATAGAAGAAAACATACTTTCTTTGTTCTTTATTCCCTCTGGGTTTTGATTGGAAGATAGGCTTATTCCGGAAACTGAATCTATTATACTTAACAACTCTATAAGAGATCGCATTAAGAAGTAAGCGTGGATAGTCGATCCAGGATAAATTATAACTTTTAGGATGGTTTGGGATAGATCAGATGCTATAGTAAACTTTCTACAAGTGGATTACAATAACAGTTTGCTAACACAGAGTTTTGAAACTTGTTTTGTTTTAGTATTCTTCTTCCTGTTAACTACTTTGTCATTAATGTAACATAGAAGCCAGGTCAATAGTTTGCAAATAGATTTAGTAATTTAAAGAGGCCGTGTTTCACAAGGGGTGGGAATTAATGTTATAATGTATTAATCAGTATTCAACTAGAGGGGATAATATATGTATGTGTGTTTTGATGCACCTTTTTTAATGTTTTGATTGGTTTGTGTTTTTTGTCCTTTTTTTCTTTTTTGTCTTCTTTTGGATGATTTTTGTATTATATATGTATATATGTAAATAGCATCAAAAGGTTGGATGAAGATTATCATTACAAATACCTAGGCATCCTTCAAGTCAATTACATCAAGCACACGAAATCTTTTTTCCATAAAGTCCAGAAAAAGCACCTTTGGTACAACCATGACCTGGATGACTGAGAATCTCCATATACAAGTCAATACATTATAATGCAAGGGAAGATCTTAAAGTCCAAACTCAGTGGAGGAAAGTCAATTAACACCTAGGCTATTCCAGTCATTAATTACACAGCTGGAATAGTGGATTGGACTGAAGAATAACTAAAAGCCTTGGATAGGAAGACCAGAAATATAATGACAATGAATCATGCCCTTCATCCTTGTAGCAACATTGACAGATTCTACCTACCATGGAATATCGGTGGGCGTGGAATGCTGCAAGTACACCAGACAGTTGAAGAAGAAAAAAGGGCATTGGAAGAATATCTGAAGGACAGTGAAGAAGATGCACTGAACCTAGTATACCATGAAGCTAGTACACCATGAAGGCCTACTGAGTACTGAAGGGACCAAAGTGGCCTACAAGAAAGATCAAATGAAGAATAGAAAAGAGATTGGGCAAGACAAAACATTACATAGCCAGTGTGTTTTTTTTTTAAATAAACCAATAAGGCAAAACAAAAAATAATCAAGATCTGGCAGTGGCTAAGAGTAGGAAAATTGAAGAAAGACAGAGGGACTGCTTCTGCCTCCATAAGACCAAGCCTTAAGAACAAACGCATACAAACCCGACTTGAGAAAATAGCAACAGGTAGGAAATGCCATCTCTGCAACCTGAAAAAAATATGGACCACTTGTTAGCTACTGCAAGATGATCCCACAGACTGACTACAAACAATCACATGATAAATTAGCAATAATGGTGTGCTGGAATGTCTGCAAGAAATACCATTTATCTTCAAGCAAGAACTGGTGGGATTGTAAAATAGACAAAATAATAGAAAATGAAGGGGCTAAAGTACTCACAGATTTTAGATTTGAAAGAGATAATCACCTGCCACATAACATACCAGACTTAATAATTGTTGACAAATAGTCAATAAAGCATGGATACTGGATATGGCAGTATATGAAAACAGGCAACAGCAGAACAGAAGAGAAAGAACTGGAGAAAATCACAAAATAAAAAGACTTGCAAAAAGAAGCAGAACAACTGTGGCAAAATAAAACAAAGTTAGTACCAATCCCAAAAACTTTTGGAGCACCATTTGAAGGCCATTGCCATTGACAAATTACCAGCAGTCAATTCCAAAGATAACTTGCAACAATACATTTAATACCATTAAATAACAACATCTCCCTATCCTAGGTCCTTGGGAAAGACTCAATAAGTGGATGAAAATGCCAAATCCAGTCTAAACATCTGTCTGACTTCAATGAACTATAATAATAAAGCATCTATATCCCAAATCATTTTAGGCCACCAAAAATCATACAACCATAGATCCAAATGATCTATGATGTAATCCCATTTCAGCAGTCTAAATATTGACAAATGCAATGAAAGGCTGAATTTCTGACAAAGACCTATTACATGGATGGTGATAGAACATTGTATTTTAATTAAGAATGTTCACTATTACGTGGTTCAATTTCTGAAATATCTCATCTATTCAGAGGTCTATCTATAGACCTCAAATAATTTAAAAACAGTCTGGCAGCAAGATCTCCTTAATTTCAATCTCTCATAAAGTTACATGAATTTTCATTTAGTTATAATTTACAGGTGTATCTTAGCATAATTTTGATTTTTAAGTTTTTTAAAAGATTTTTCCATACACTTTTCTTATTTTATTGCATATTTTCTTGGAAATATGCAAGTCTTATTGAATAGTAGGTCACAAACAGATAAAGTCTGAACTAATAAAAGAGAATATTTGGAGCTCAGAGTTGGATATGGGGTCCTTGGTGCTCTCTGAGCTTGCTTGTTTTCTTGCAGACATTTCATTACGCAAACTAGATAAATGTCATCACCTAGTTTGTGTGATGAAGAGTTTGCAAGAAAACAAGCAACCTTAGAGAGCACCAAGGACTTCTTGAACTGAATAAAATACATTCCCATTATATCAAGGATTCTCCATGACATGTGAACATATGATTTGGGGTGGCTATGTATGTTTTTGGAACCAGACATTTGATTACTTATTAATATCTTTTTGCAATGTGAAAGTGGGTGCTATGTTCACAGCTTTGGGCAAGACAAGGTACATACTTTTCAGGACAAGTGGCTAAAACATGATTGTATGGTTTTGGGCTATCCAAATGTGAGCTGCAGCATTTTGAACATATATTCACCATATTTTTGTACAATTATTTTTATTCTATGGAATTACTGGATAGCTTGAAAGGCAGTGGTCTGATTACAGAGATATGATACAGATGAATTTAGGTTAATTTTAAATTCAACGATAAAATTGAGATTTGTATTTACTCTATTGCTTGACCTGTGTTTTGAATGTTGATCAGAATAAGTCTTTAGCTTTGCCCAACTATTTCCAGCCATTTTTTCCCTTAGCAAAACAAGGGCCCAGCTCCATGAACAACAATCGTGCTATTAAAAATGTGAATTGAGCCACTATGGGAACATAATTTCCCCGACGCGGAAGGACAGGGCCGGCCGACAAACCAGCATGGAACTTCTCACCCAGTTGCCGAAGCCGAACTGCTCGATAGCATCCAGTAAGAGTTGCTCCTCGCGGCTGCTCCAGCCACCCTCGGCCTCGGCACCCCAGAGAGTGAAACGCCCACCATCTACCAGCTGGTAGCCATGCCAGCGCCTATGCGGGCCAATCTCGGCGCCCGCTGAGAAGCATTCGGGGCAAAGCTCGATATCGGTACATTCGGTGCAGCGGAAACGAAGCGAGCTGACCTCAGCCAAGCAGTACACGCAATACTTTTTCCCTAGTTCCGCCATCTTGCTTTCCTCCCCCCGCCCCAAGAGGTAAAAAGAGCAGCAAAGGTTTGACGTCCACGTTTGCGACAGGGACCAACTCCCGCCCACTAATCGAGGCAGAATTTTGTGGGTGTGTCCCAGGAAGAAATAGCCAATCGACTTCGAAATTTCTTGTGCTCTTTCACGCGCAACATCCAATCAAGCCTCGCTTCTTTTAATTTCTTCCCATTGGTTGACAAAAGCAACTTTTGTTGCCTAGCGACGGAGCAAAGCGGTTTGTTTACGGAGGGAGAGCGCGAGAGAGTCGAGCGGTTGCAAGCTATGGAGGAGATACAGGAGGTGGCGGAGGAGATCTCTACTCCAACACCCCAAAATCTTGAGGATGTCGTTGTCCCGATTTCCCCGGAACCACAGGAGTCGGCCACGGATGCGGAGACAACAGAGGCCGCGAAGAGTCCCCCTACTGCAGAGCCGCCGACGCAGGAAGGAGCGGGAGACGAGGCGACCGCGGGAGAGAAGCCCCAACGGACGACCGAAGAGCCGCCAACATTAGAAGGAGCGGACAAGGAGCCTGCGCTGGAGGAGCAACCGGAGCGCGAAACCTCGAGCGAAGGTCCAGGAGGAGCCGAGGCCCCGAAGGATGGGGAAGAGGACAAGAGGAGCCCCTCAGAGATTCCTTCTCTGGAGAAACTGGAAGAAGAGAGCGGGGCGCCGGAGGCTCCCTCCAGGTTAACGCTCCTCCGCGACTTGCCCACCGGCGCCTCCTTCGAGGAGGGCGAGCCGGCGGAGCCGCCTCCGTTGCAGGTGGGCGTGGAACTGGGCCGCAGGATCAGCCGCAGCCTCTGGGAGCTGGAGCAGAGGGAAGCAAGCAGCCGCTCCTTAGTTGTGGGTGGCAGCCCGGAGAGCGAGGAAGGCGCGCTGGAAGGAGAGACGGAGGAGCAGAGGGAGCGGCGCGCGGCCGAGGAACAGCGGCGGCGAACCGAACTCATGGAACAGTACCGGCAGCTGCTGACCGAGCGAGGCCGCCTCCGCAATTACAACACGAAGCTGCAGGGCAAACTGGCCGAGGTCTTGAACAAAGCCAAGAGCAAGGATCGCGTCCGAGAACTAGAACACCACATCTCCGACTGGGAGCAGCGCTACAGCCGCTACCTGGCCATGTTAGAGAAGTTGCGTAGCCAGCAGGCGGAGGAGACGGCTTGGTACCAGAAGGAGATCGATGCTCTCCACCGGTCCTGCGATCAGAAATTGACTAAGGTGGAGAGTGAATGGAAGACCTACCAGGCGGTCAAGAAGGAAGTAGCTGTATATACTATGGGGAGGCGGCTAGGAGGTAAACAAGCTGCCATCAAGGAAGTGGACAAGATCCAAGCTAAAGAACAAAGCAAGGAAAGGGAGATGACGGAGGTGAGCCCTGCATAGAGGAGGGATGTTAAATGCCCTATCTAAACAGTCTGCTGTTGGGATAATTGCATTAATTAATTTTAAGATGTGACAGTCTTTTTTTCTACGCCTTTCAGTTGACCAGTCTTTGAGACAACACTGAACAGGCATATATTATCTCATAACTGTAAGGCCAAATTCATGATTAGGAGGAATTGAAACTGGTTGAAATGTCATTCACAGAAAAAGCAAAGTTAACCCAAACCAAACCAATTCCTGGATCATATTGCCAGCCTTGCAAATAAGCCTGTAAAATTCCTAACTTGTAAAGTAAGTAAACCTTTATAATGGCAGAAATTGTAATTTTCAACTGCAGATACACAGCCTAGGTTGGTACTTGTGCTATTAACAGTAACAGGATGATGAAGAATTAGTTCTCCTTTAGTTTATAAAGATTCTTATTAGAATTTTTATCTAGATTAAGTTTCAGTTTGTTCTTCTATATTCAATCTTTCACTGGCTTAACTGATGAAAAACTTCTTGTGGTAGCCAGGAATATAATGGTCAAGGACTGTATCACAAAACTTTTGAAAGTCCAAGTAAATAGTATTTGCTGGATCATCTCAGGCTTCATATTTGTCCACAACATTGGTATCTAAATCAGAAGTAGGAAACATTGAGGAATTAAGAGGTCATTCTTTGGAAATAGAGCCTCAGTAGGCAGAAGGAAAATGCCCTACAGTCATGAATATATGTCTTAGCTCTTTTTATTTTGGTTTGCTTTCCTGGAAATATCAGTTTAAGCTATTGTTTCTGTTCTATGTTTTCTATAGTAGACTTTAGAAATTATTTAGCTTCTCTGCAATTTCTTTATATTTCCTTATTCTAGAATTGCTTCCCAGAGTTGGTGAGTAGTGTTTCATGAAGGTGTGACATCACTGATTTTCCCAAACAGGTGTATTAGTTACCGTATTTTTCAGAGTGTAAGACACACCAGAGTATAAAACGCACCTTAATTTTGGGGGAGGAAAACAAGAGAAAAAGAATTCTACCTCTGCCTACCAAGTGAGGTCACACTGCTTTATGCCGCCCTCCTCCTCCTGCTGCAAGCAAGAGGTGCCTCAGAGACTCGGCTGGGAAAGAGGGCAAGAAGTTCTTTTCCAGAAAACTTATCAGGATGCTCCTGCGATCCGCAGGGACTACTCACTTTCCCCCAAAGAGACCCCTCGCATGCTCAGGGGGGAGGGTCAGAGCACAGCCTGAGGAACAAACCTCTTAGGGATGGTCTGGGGGGGGGGAAATCTGCCCGGTGGCTTTGGTGAACAAGGCGGGCCCCACGGTTCATGGCTGGTCACCTCTCTGGCTGCCCAGCAGGCAGCTCAGGGCAAACAATGGTCGCAATTACTTCACTCCCCAGCAATGTGAGGAGCACCACTGCCACCTAAGCCCTCTCAGCGCCCAGGAGCCAAACCGAGCAGGAGCCCCTAAAGTGAAACGTCCCTCCTTTCCAGCCACCGCTGCCCGTTGGCCGGATTCCCCAATGCAATTCTCAGAGCTGCATTTCAGGAGGCGGCCAGTTCCCCTGCAATGTGCAGTGGGGAACCGTGAACTGTTTTGGATTCGGGGAGCTCATGCCTTTGACTTGGTATATTCTAAAATTCAAAGTATAGAAAATAACCAAGCTTGAAATCTTAAAGGTTTTAGTAGTTATAAACAGATGGGATGATCCACATATTGTATGGTGCTCAAGATGGTTAACAATATAATTCATCAGATATCATATGCAGTATGCCATCCAGCATCATCAACAATAATTCATTCATGACAGAGGTCTGCCTTGATGTCCAAATACTAAAACAACCATAAAGAAAGCCTTCTCTATATTCTCATCAAACGTATCTCTGATAGTGGCAGGTTGCAAATAAGGCCCTGGGCATCCAGATTAAAGTTCTATCCAGTAGCATTATCTAAAAATAAGTAGTGTGATGAACTTGTGATTCCTCATTTGAAAATATATAGTTTTGTTGGTTTATCAGCACAGTGTTTCATAATAATAATAATAATAATAATAATAATAATAATAATAATAATAATAATAATAATAATAATAATTTTATTTCTATACCGCCCTTCTCCCGAAGGACTCAGGCGGTGTACAGCCTATTTAAAAACACAAGACGAAACAGCAATTAAAATTTAAAATAATTAAATAAATTTGGCTCAAATTTAAAACCCCAGAAAATTTAAATACCCCAATTTAAAACTATTATGTTGATAGCCCGGCCTGGCGGAACAACAGGGTCTTCAGTGCGCAGCGAAACACCCGCAGGTCGGAGATCTTACGTATTTCCGGGGGCAGTTCGTTCCACAGGGCTGGGGCTCCCACAGAGAAGGCCCTCCCCCTGGGTGTCGCCAGCCGACATAACTTGGCCGATGGCACCCGGAGGAGACCCTCTCTGTGGGAGCGAACTGGTCGGTGGGAGGCTATTGGTGGCAGAAGACGGTCTCGAAGGTACCCGGGTCCTATGCCATGAAGCACTTTAAAGGTGGTAACCAACACCTTGAATCGCACCCGGAAGACCACCGGGAGCCAGTGCAGCTCGTGCAGGAGGGGTGTCACGTGGGCACAACGAGTTGCGCCCATAACCACCCGCGCGGCCGCATTCTGGACCAGTTGGAGCCTCCGAGTGCTCTTCAAGGGGAGCCCCATGTAGAGAGCATTACAATAGTCCAACCGGGAAGTAACAAGGGCGTGAGTGACCGTGCGCAGGGCGTCCCGGTCCAGAAAGGGCTGCAACTGGCGAATCAGGCGAACCTGATAAAAGGCCCCCCTGGCCACGGCCGTCATATGCTCTTCTAAAGACAGCCGCGCGTCCAGGAGGACACCCAGATTGCGAGCCCTCTCCGTGGGGGGCAAAGATTCACCCCCAATAGTCAGCGATGGCACCTGCTGACTATATCGGGGCGCCAGGAGCCACAGCCACTCGGTCTTGGAGGGGTTGAGTCTGAGCCTGTTCCTCCCCATCCAGACCCGCACGGCCTCCAGGCAGCGAGACATCACATCAAGGGCATCATTGGGGTGGTCTGGGGTGGAGATGTACAGCTGAGTATCATCAGCGTACAGATGGCACTTCACCCCAAAACCACGGATGATCTCACCCAGCGGCTTCACATAAATGTTGAACAGGAGGGGCGAGAGGACCGACCCTTGCGGCACTCCCCATGCGAGACGCCTCGAGGTCGACCTCTGTCCCCCTGCCAACACGAACTGTGAGCGGTCGGAGAGGAAGGAGGAGAACCACCGCAAAACGGTGCCCCCTATTCCTAACCCCCTCAATCGCTGCAGCATGATACCATGGTCGATGGTATCAAAAGCTGCTGAGAGATCTAATAGGACTAGGACAGAGGAGCAACCCCTGTCCCGAGCCCTCCAGAGATCATCCACCAATGCGACCAATGCCGTTTCTGTGCTGTACCCCTGCCTGAAGCCCGACTGGTACGGGTCTAGATAGATAGCTTCATCCAGGTGCCGGGGGAGTTGTCGTGCCACCACGCTCTCAACAACCTTCGCCACAAAACGAAGGTTGGAGACTGGACGATAGTTGGCTAATTCAGCCGGGTCCAGGGAAGGCTTTTTGAGGAGGGGCCTCACTACCGCCTCTTTCAAGGCGGCAGGAAAGGCACCCTCACTCAAAGAAGCACCTATAATCCCCTGGAGCCAGCCTCGTGTAACCTCCCGGGAGGCCAGTACCAACCAGGAGGGACACGGGTCCAATAAACACGTGGCGGCACTAATCTCACCCAGAACCCTGTCCACATCCTCGGGAGTCACAGGATCAAACTCCCAGATAACATTCTCAAGACCTGCCCTCATTTCCTCCCATGGACTCATCCAGTTGGAGTCCAAGCCATCCCGAATCTGAGCGACTTTATCGTGCAGAAATTGCACAAAATCCTCAGCACGACCCTGCAAGGGATCTTCCCGCACTCCCCCCCGAAGAAGGGAGTGGATCACCCTAAACAGGGCGGCTGGGCGGTTCTCTGCAGATGCTATAAGAGCGGGAAAATGGTTAGATTTTGCCGCTTTTATCGCCACTAGGTAGGTCTTGATATAAGACCTCACCTGTGTCCGGTCGGAATTGGATTGACTAGTCCTCCAAATGCTCTCTAGGCGTCTTTTCCGACGCTTCATCTCTCTTAGCTCCTCAGAGAACCAAGGAGCCAATTGAGATCGGCATCGGGTAAGAGGCCGCAAAGGCACGACGCGGTCCAAAGCTCCAGTGGCCGCCCTTTCCCAGGCGGCCACCAGCTCTTCAGTCGAGTCGTGTGTTAGAGTCTCAGGAAATGGCCCAAGCTCTGTCATGAACCTTTCGGGATCCATCAGGCGCCTGGGACGGAACCATCTAGTCGGTTCTGTCTCCCTGCGGCGGGGGCAGGTGGTAGGAGAGTCTAATTGAAGGAGTGAATGATCTGTCCATGACAAGGGTTTGATATCTAGGTCCCCTCTACCAAGATCATTCAACCACTGACCAGAGACAAAAATCAAGTCCAAAGTGTGTCCCCCTATGTGAGTGGGGCCTTGAACTAACTGGGTCAGGTCCATGGCCGTCATGGAAGCCATGAACTCCCGAGCCACCTCTGACGCCTCACCCACGGATGGAAGGTTGAAATCCCCCATGACAATAAGTCTGGGGGTATCAACCGCCACCCTGGCAATGACATCGAGTAGCTCGGGCAGGGTCGCTGCCACGTGGCAGGGAGCCAGGTACGTAGTCAGCAAACCCATCTGCACCCCACGGCCCCACTTCACACAAAGAGACTCACACCCGGCTATCTGAGGAACAGTGGTCTCCCTCGGACAAAGACCTTCCTTAATAATCACCGCCACTCCCCCACCCCTCCCCTGGGCCCTTGGCTGATGAAATGCACGGAAACCTGGTGGGCACATCTCGACGAGGGGGACACCCCCCTTGGCCCAACCAGGTCTCCGTAATACCTGCCAGGTCCGCACCCCCCTCCAAAATAAGATCACAAATGAGGGGATCACAAGTGATCATAAGGGAAAAGTCTATCTATCAAGGCCAATTCTGTTCAACTCATTTGGACTCATTTTTACATATAGTTGGGATATGACTAAAATCTGGCGCAAATTCTATTAAAATCAAAGATTTATCTGTGATAGTGTTATTGAACACTAAATCTAAAATCCCATGCTCTTTTAGGGGTAAGTCAGTGGGGCTTATCTAAAAGCATGGACAAAATTACCTTGTAACTTAACAGAGATCAGAAAGAGAAATTTTCTCTTTAATTGATTGCAGAGGTCTTTGCAAACCATTCCTAAAGATTCTTCAGAACTATTATCCAAATCTCTGATTTATAGAATGGCTAACAAAAGGCTGTGTTTTCATGGTACGCTAAACTGTATTTCAAATTAGTATTGCTCCAACATAAAACAATTATTTGGTGGTGTTATTAGACCAGTTTTTATCATTTTAGGTACGTCTTGAAAATATAAAATTGAAACACAGGATCCAAAAACTTGATGCAAGTCTAAAAGCCCAAGAAGAACTGGCAGAAGGCTTACATTTAATAGACTTTGAGCAGCTGAAGATAGAAAACCAGACTTACAATGAAAAGATTGAAGAGCGTAATGAAGAACTTCAGAAACTCCGGAGAAAGGTCACCAATACAGTACAAGTTCTATCTCAAGTAAAAGAAAAACTGCAATTTGTGGAAGCGGAGAATCAAGGCCAGAAGGCTCAGCTAATGGCAGTGGAAAGTCTAGTAGCGCAAAACAGAGATATATTAACAAGGACAAAGCAGGCTCGTGATAAATTGAGAATAGACAATCAGAGGCTTCAACAGAAATGTGGTTTACTTGGAAATACATTGTTATTGAGGGACTTTGAGGAGAAAGTGGATGCTGCTGAGATACTAAAAGAGAAATTGGAAATACTGAAGCGTCGTCATGCTGGATTATCCCTTACTTGCAATGGAATAAAGATGAAAATCAAAGGGGCAAAATCTTTTCTGCCATTCTAAATGTCTTTAGTGGTAAACAGAACAAAGTAGTGTATGAAAAAAATCAAATAAATCATACTAGTGCCTTTAGATTATATTCCAGCTAGATGTGGTTCAAGCCTCAAATCCAAATAACCATCATGAGTGCTTATATAAGCAGGATAGGATATCATTTTAATAATAATAAATTCATAAATACCCTGTTAATTTATAATTGACAGTAAAAGTGTACAAAGCTAAACTCATAACAGAATCTATTCAATTTTTAATGTAAAAATAGATTATAAGCAAATGTGGGCAATTATTAATAAATAAGTATAATAACATTGTAAAGTGCTTAGCCTCCATTGGAGAAATTTGTGTTTTTATATGTTTTTAATTAGCCATAATAGGTAACCTATCTTCATTTTTCCTTGACTCTTTAATAGTATCAAAATTGTTCAAGTAAATTAAAAAAGTTATGTATCAACATCTTTTATGTTAAATTTTTTTAGTTATTTGAGTCTTTCCTCAATAAAGATGGTTCTCAAACCTTTTTTTAAAAAATGTCCTTAAATGTGTATGTGTGGGAAGTGGGAAATGAGAGACGTGCTCAGGGAATTCTGATAGGACAAAGGATTTTAAAGGTTTTGGAACAGATATGCTTGTTTCTCTTGGAGAAAATTCGGAAGAGCCTAGGTCCATGTTAGCGAACCTATGGCACGCGTGCTGGAAGTAGCACGCAGAGCCATTTTTCTGGGCACATGAGCCGTCACCAAGCTCACCTGAAACTGCACATGTGCGTGCGCCACAGCTGGTGTTCAGGCCTCTGGTGCGCATGTGCGCAATTCAGGGGACCCAGCTGCTCTTCGGAGCTCTCCGCATGCGTGTGTGTTTACGCATGCGTGTCAGATGACTGGTGTGAAGTGCATGCATGTGCAGACAGCATTTGTGCACGTACATTGCATGTGCAAAAGCTGCGCATGCGCATATGGTGAGATTGTGCATGCAGTGCGCTCTAGTACGCATGCGTGAAAGCTGCACACACACAGATGGTGCAGTTGCATGCACAGTGCATGGTGGGGGTGCATGCAAAAGCTGTGCGCATGTGCAGATGGTACAGTTGCATGCACAGTACATGGAAAGGAGCTGCGCATTACCGCAGATGGCACATGAGCGTGCACAGCACACAAAGCACGTTCCTGTTCGGCACTCTGTAAATAAAAGGTTTGCCACCACTGGCCTAGGTTTTTTCCCAGTACACGAGGAACGTATACATTTAAACAATGCAATAACATTTGCCAGCTTATCTGCTTTGAATTTTAAGTAATTTGGTGCTTTGCAACTGGATTTGGTTCTGTATTTCTTATTGGTTTTAAGATAAATTATGTGCATGTTTTTAAAGAAAGCTGTAAGTTTTTGTAGCTTTTCCCATCAGATTTACTATATAGTTTTTAACCAACCCATTTTTTTCTCAATCTTTCAACACCATTAGCAATGAAAAACTTTATAGGATTGGTGTCAATATTCGGAGTGTGGTTAAAGAACTATAAATCCAAAACATGAAAGGCTTCACTTATCTATGTTTCTATATGAGATGGGCATAGGAGAGTGTTCTGACCTAGGCTTCCTGATATAGTAAAAAGCACACAATTAGTCCCAAAAACCCTTTTTAAAATTTTAACGGCTGTGAATTCCTTTCATTCACAGCACATGCTGAATCACCAAGAGTTTATAAATAGTCCAACAGAAGTCTGCCACAGTCCTTCAGATAAGGCTGGTAAACACCCACCTTTTATCTTTTTTGACATGCTGCCAAAGACCTAATTGGCAATTATCTTGGCAAGGCCACATGGAAAGACAGAGTCAAAAACCGAGCTTCAAAGTACAAACCGACACCATCCACAACGTTGCTTCCTGCAAAGGCCTACGTGCCTTTGCTCTTTCTTTATGTCTTATGGGAGGGGCCAATCACCTCCAAGCAATCTAAATTGGGTGAAATCTAAATTTTTTTGCTACCGGTTCTGTGGGTGTGGCATAATTAGTGGGCGTGGCTTGGTGGTAAAATGACTGGGAGGGCGTGGCTTGGTCAGGTGGGCGTGGCCAAGTCAATGTCACTTCTTTGCCCTTTTTTAACCTACAAAACACAACACAACACAACTGGCTCACCCACAATGTAAAAGCAACTGTGCTAGACCCAAAATGGCCCCTGCACCAAGCAGGAACCTTACACAGTCACAAAAAGTCCAAAAAACCAACTTTCACACTTTACACACACAAAATTCCACATACAGCTTTGTGAGATTTTGTGTGTTTGTGTAGTTAAAGTGAAACACTACAGAAACACACAAAATCTCAGAAAGCTGCACAAATATTTTATTTTATTTTATCTTAATTTTAATTTTTATATAAAAGCTAAATTTAAAACTTCCTAAACTTTAAATGGCTAGGTCTAAAAAAAAAACTAAAAAAAACCCCAATTAACTATTTTTTTAAAGCTCCCAAAGGGGAAAAAACTTACCCAATAGAACAGGGGTCTCCAACCTTGGCAACTTTAAGACTTGTAGACTTCAACTCCCAGAATTCTTCAGCCAGCTTTGCTTTGCTGGCTGAGTAATTCTGGGAGTTGAAGTCCACAACTCTCTGCCTGCTTGATTGCAGGCAGGGAGATTCAGTTGCTTGCTGATGCAATTGATTGCAGGGATTACAGCAAGGCGTTGCGACCAGCAGCTAAGGTAAGCAAGCTGAGGTGGTGAGGGGGAGGGATTTTTGTTACCGATTAGCAGGCAACAGCTAAGATCGTCAGAGCTGGGCTCTCAGAGCCATTTAAAAGAAAAAAAAGGCTCTGATGATCGCGCGGCTCAGCTGGGCATAGGGGGCGGAGGCAAGGATTTTTCCTACTGGTTCTCCGAACTGCCCACTGCCATCGCTACCTACTCGCCCGAGCCGGTCCGAACCGGGAGCATTTCACCCCTGCCTCCAAGCCTTACTCCCAAGTCGTCCCTTTTGTTTTAACTGTTCTTGCCTTCTGGCAGCTCTGTATATGCACACACTAGGAACAGGCTCCCCCTGTTCCTCTGCCCCTCTGATGTCCGACTCTGGAGACTTGGAGTCCGCACAAAACTCCCAGATGGCCCTGGTCACATCTCTGCCTCTTGCGCAGAGCCCTCGTCCAAGCCTTCCCCAGATTCCAGGACTGGCCCATGTTCCTCCCCAGCCTTCTGACTGTTCGACTCTGCTGCCAGCTCCGCAGGCTGCTGGCGGACCACAACAGAGAGTGTATGTATGGCAGCTGCAACATGTGGCTAAATGCAAGTAAGGGATAATATTTACAGGCCAGATATTGAAATATTCAAAGCATATTGCTCATACCATTAGCACTGTTAACAAAACCTAGAATATGATGGTTCCTTCACTTTTTCTTAAAAAAAGAGGGCTTTGTTACAAATATTGGATTTTTGTGCTCCTATTCATTGTTTTGTATTACCATATTTAGTCAGGTTCTTAATTATTCCTCGCCTATTTGCTTGTTTTATGTCTCATAACCAGTAGTGGGTTTCAATTTTGGCCGCTACTGGTTCGCTTGTGGGTGTGCGCTTGCGCGCGCAACACTTCTATCCATGCACAGAAGTTTCTGCGCATGCGCAGAGATGTCTAGGTGGGTGGGTGGAGCCTTCCACTGCAGCTACCAGTTCGCCTAATCCGAGGCAAACCAGTAGCAACCCACCACTATTCACAACTACTCAGATCTCAGATTTTCTTCAACTTTCTTTTCTTGCACTTTTTTCCTTTGATTTCTTTTTCTTTATATTAGTTTGCATTGGTTTTTTGATTGATTAAAAGATTTAATAACAATTATATATACAAAAATGGGTGGCCTCAGATAGATGGGGAAAATAGAGCAGCTACTGTACATGTATGAAAAATTTGTCAGACTGTAGAACATGGGTGTCAAACTCGCCATGTCACATCGCCGTCACTTGACGTATCGCAATGTTCTTTCCCTTCACGGAGCTGGAGTGGGTGTGGCCTGCATGTGACGCATCCAACCCACAGGCTGCCAGTTTGATATCCCTGCTCTAGAACAACAAATTCAAGATGAGGAAGGAAATTTGATGTTTTCAGATTGAACTTGAAAAAAATACTCTTATTCTCCCAAGTTATTAATAAAACAAAGCCAATTAATTCTTACAATTGCAGAGGGAGATATCTTAATTTTTGGAGGTATGAATAGAGAGATTGAGTGATTGAGTGATTGAATGAATGAACAAATATTCAATCAATTTGTATGTCTGCCTATCTCACCAAATGATTCTGAGTGGTGAACAAAACTTAAAAAATAAAAACTAATACAAAATTTAAAATACAAAGCCAAGAATAAATTACCTAAATTAACCAATGTCCTGAATACACTCAAGGCTTCAAACTCAGGCAAAAACTAGGTATTTAAAAACTTACAAAAAGCCAGAGGGAGAATGTTCCATAAAGCAGGTGCTAAGGCAGGTCTTCAAGACCCTGCCAACTGGCACTCCTTAGCTAACAAGATCAGAAGCATGCCTATTCGGTTTGGTGTAGTGATTAAGGTGCTGTCTTACAAATCTGGAAACTGTGAATCTAGTCCCACTTTAGACATGAAAGCAGGCTGGGTTACTTTGGGCCAGCCATTCTCTCTCAGTCCAACCCACCTCACAGAGCTGTTGTTATGGGAAAAATAGGAGGAGGAGGAAGTACTGTATTAGGTATGTTCACCATCTTGAGTTATTTATAAAGCAATAAATATGGGATAAAATCAGACGGGCAGAAAAAAGGAGGTGAGTCATTATTTCTATTTGGGATGGAACCAAACATGCTTTATTATTAATAAATAATGTACTATTTTAAATTAAATTATTTTGAATTATAAGTCCAGAAAACACTGAAGAATAGCTGAGTAGGATGTTACTTCCAAGATGTATAGATCAACACAAATATGTCTTTAATCATTCCATAACTTAAGATAAAACTAAAGAGGCAATTTAAAAAATTTATGGTCTGGGATATGATGTCATTTCTTCAATATACCAGAAGACTTTCTAAGTAATCATAGTTAAAACTACTAATAAAAGAGATTCAGGAATACTTTTAGCTATAAATTTAAAAAGATCTTGATTTGCCCATAGACATGCAACCTAATTTCTTTACTGAATGTAGATTATAAACTTTTTAAAGGCAATACTCAAAAACAATAAATGGTTTTTAAATTGAAATGATATAATCTAATCAGACTGGACTTGTTCTGAAGAGACATCAGAGACAACATCAGTTGATTAAACATCAGTTTAATCAATGTTATTGATTAAATCACATCAACAAAAATGTGGCTACAATCTTTGTTTATATAGAAAACTTATGACAATTTAGGATGGTTTATGTTTGCATTAAAAAGATGTAGCTTTTTTTTATGGGGATACAGATTATAAAGGACAAAATGCCAAGTTAATAGTAAATGGCTATTTATCACTACCATGCATTATACAAAAGAGAAAAGACAATATTGTCCCCTTCTCTTTTTTTTACTGGCATTAGAA